ACTGGACCAAGAACTGCCGATGATACCCTTCTCTGGTCCAAGGGAGCAAATTGGGTTCCAGATACACTTCAACTCTTTTTAGGCTAAGCCACTAGCTCAGCTCCTTTATGGGACACTAGTTAGATAATTGCCCCCCCCCCCAGCTTCTTAAGAGGGTGCCTTAAGAAAAAAAGAGATCATGGGGGCAACAGGGGAAGAAGTCCTTTTGTGTTGTGTTGCACAGTTGTGGGCCTAATCTGAATTCTGATTTTGCAAAGAATCCTGGAGTAAAGCTGAAACACGGTTTTACCAGCCACAACTCTTGCCATTGGGGCTGCATTCAGCTAGGACGATCCTTTCGCCTGCCTTTTACTCACATAAATATTCCCAGCCAGATATTCTTCCTCCCTTTCAATGATAAGTTGCAGCATTCTTAAAGCTGAAGAAAATAGGCCCTGCTATTTTTAGTTGGGAACAATCTGCTCTCCCTGCTGGCCTTTGAATACCATGTTAGAAAAGGGAAAAATAAATCATTGTTGACCTGGCAAAAGATTTAGGAGAAAAATTTCCATAACTTTAGAACAGTTTGGTCCATCCTGGGAAGGTGACATGAGTTGTGCAGGACCAGAGGAGATTTTCTGGTTTTTATACCAGTAGGTTGCCAATATGGATTATGCAGTCATTTTTAAATGTGACATTTGGAAAACAAAATATTACCTCCAAGCAGAGTCCCTGCACTGGGCAGGCACAAGGCCTTCTATTAAGGTACTTCTCTTCCTCAGTTCTTCGGTTTCACATTGACAACCATCCTGGGGGTGTTCCCTATGCCAACGGGTTGCTTTTGATGCCCTTTGTCACTCTCTTTTTGACTTCCTATCCTGTCCCATCTGAGGGCATTCCTAGGGGACAAATGCAAAAAAAATTGATAGGAGAAATGGACTCAAATGCTTTCCACCAATGAAGTGCTTCAATTATGTACAGCTATTGTGGATAACAAATTCCCTGAACAGACCTACGTGGCAAGTCATTCTCTCGACCTATCCATCTAGTATAGGGGTGGGGAACTATGGCCCTTTTATGACTTGTGGACCTCAACTCCCAGAATTTCTGAGCCAGCCATGCCTATAAGTCATCAAAGGGCCACCTCTGATCTAGTATGAAGAAGAATCGAAGCTCTTTCAAGCAACCCTGGTTCGACAGTGATAGTTGCCACACAACAAGAAACCCTTGCCTGTTTCAAGGATTCTCTCTCCTACTCAACTCTCGACCTGCTGCTGCTTAAGAGGAAGTATAAACAGATAATTACAGCTAAAGAAGAGAGTGGGCCTGATACAGTTTGGAACCAATTAATCTGCTACTCATCCCAAGAATTCAGCTCTACTCTGGAAATGTATGTAGCTCTTTGACCCGCTTCCCTTACTCACGTATTCTCACCCTGTGTTTCCACTGAAGTTTCAGGTGGCTGTTCACACAGGAGGAACGGCCACACCCAAAAGAGAAATTAGAATATGAGGCCCACCTCCTGCCCCCCTGGGTCAGGCTCTGAAATTACCAAAATGAGTGAACACCTGAAACCAAACAAAGTTCCCAGACCCAATTTTATTTCAGCAGAGATGATGTAAAATAATATTGATTGGCAGGTACCTGTGCGGGCTTCTTTATTCACCTGTATCGATAATCATGCCGAGGTTCCTGACGATTATGGCCTAACTTTGGTGATCCCAATTTATAGAAAAGGAGGCAGAGAGAGACCTTAGTGCTTTCTCTGTGCTATCCGTTACTTTCTTGATATCTTCTCTCATATGTGAACCAATTGTTTCCTTGGCCTTTTTCTTGTTTTTTATGTGTTGAAAGAAACTTGCTTTTATTATTTATGACATTTGTTGTTTCCTATCTGACTCTACTTCGCATTTAAAAAAATTCTTCTGGCCAATTTCTGCCAGATTTTTCAGATAGTGATTATCATTATCCTGTGCTTCTGCTTTCTTCTGATTTGATAATCATATTTTCCCACCCCTCATCTAACTTATTTATAAATATCTTGAACAAAATAGGGCCTAGAACAGAGTCCTGGGGTAAGCACTTGGCACACCCATCCAGATCACTCATTCCCTTTTTGCACAATTATTCAACCATTGAATCCATCCTTTGGTAACATAGTCCAGCCCACATTTTGCAGCCTTCTGTACTGGAATCTCACCCAGAAGACTTTGTCAGATGTTTTGCTCACGTCAAGGTACATTATACATACCACATTCCTGTAGTCAGCTAAACAGGTCACTCTTACAAAAAAAAGAGATGAGGATGGCTTGCCATGATTTATTTTTGATAAACCCATGTTGTGTCCTGCCAAGTAATGCATTCTTTTCTAAATGCTCCCAAATGAAGTACTGAATAATCAGTTTATATCAACTGACTGGTCTGAAGTTACTCTAGTTCTCTTTTTCCCCAATTTTTTTCAAGACAGGAACAACCTTTGTTGTTCTCCAATCTTCTTGATCTGACTTTAAAGACTTCAATGTATTAATTTAAGGTCAGGGACTCCTAATCATCTCTTTATTTACCTTGGGTTTTCATTCCCTTTTGCCAGGTGATAGTTTCCCTTTGGAGACAAGATTAAAGCATAGTAATTGCTGAGAGGTTTTCTCTCTTCCCATCACCTGTCATTTCCCTTCCAACATTTGCATCATTGAGTTTCACTTGCAAGCATACACTTTTTTATGTTTTCTCATACTCCTGCAGATATAAGTTATGTGCAGCTACTCCTCCTTGGTGGTTACACTCGTTTTCTGTCCCTTGAACTTGGATAAAAACTCCCTCCACCCAGAATGGCTTCTAAAGCGCCCTTGTTCTTCATTGGTGTGGGATACAATTGTGTATCACAAACATATTTTAAGAACTCTCCAGCCCTCATAGGTTCCCTTAAATATGAGGATTTCAATACATGGTATTCCCTCTGTTATAAGGTTGCTTAAATTTCCTTCTTGAACCTGGTGGGCGTGTACAATTGTGTAGCAGGTTTTCTTTCTGTTGCATCCCAAGAAGATGTAAGTTGCTTTCTGTCAAGGCCCCACAGCTTTTGCCTCTTCAATCATGCTTGAATGAAAATTGTGAGGGTTTTGTTTGCCATCTTGGCTGAGTTGGTTCTCCAAGAGTTGTCCAGGTGATTTGACCTAGTAGAGTGTTATCTAGACCTTCTGCCTGTCTTGATTAATACCACATCCCCACAACAGTATTTTTGTTCCTTCCATTTCCATGCGTTCTTGCAGGAATCTTATGTTCAGATTCTTGCATCTCGGAACACATGTTCCCTTTTTTCACATGAAATTTAATTCCTTCATTCAGGCTATTTTTGTCCTTTCTCTTCCCCACACATGCACACAGCCATATTTTGGCTACATTTGCCTAACATGCCAGGTATATATTTTTAACACCCAATCCTTGCATTTCATCCGTGAGTTTCATCTTAGAGCCATGATGGCAAAGCTGTGGCACATGTGCCGGAAGTGGCACACAGAGCCACCTCTCTGGGCACACAAGCTGTCTCCCGTTGCTCTTCTGGGTTCCGTTGCGCTGACCAGCTGGTCTTCACATATACGGGAGCACTGGAAACTAGAAGAGCAGCCGCCGGGTGCACATTTGCGCACCGGGAAAGATGATCTTCCGGTTTCTGGCGTGCACATGTATACCAGGCACCTGGTCTTTTGGTTTCTGGCACACAGACACGCACAAAGACCAGCTTCAAAGACCGCATGCACACCAGGCGGCCACTCTTCTGGTTTCTGACATGTGCGCCCGCACTCCTGTTTTCAGCCCTCGGTGCTGAAAAGATTCACCAACACTGTCTTAGAGCAGGGGTGTCCAAACTTGGAAACTTTAAGACTTGTGGAGTTCAACTTCTAGAAGTTCTGGAAAGTTCTGGAAATTGCAGTCCACAAGTCTTAAAGTTCCCAAGTTTGAAGACCTCTGTCTTAGAGGATTCAGTCACACTGACTAAGTCACTCTTTCTGCTTGTTCCACACATTTGCTAGTTGCACCCAGGAATTCCTGGGTCATGTAAGATGATCTATTTCCATCCTGTATTGATGTGCCTATTAATAACTGCCTCCATATTAGATCTATTTGTTTTTAATTTTGAGATAAAAATACTTTTATTAGCTTATTGCACTTAATCTATGTATCTTCTTCTATGATGCCCTTGTCATTCTTTCATGCCATGTCTTCTGGCTTGGTGAGACTATGGCACAACAGAACATTAACCAAAGTGAGGACAACATTGATGAGGAACTATTTTTGAAAGCAATATCAGAAAAATCACCCAGATAAACGGGCAATTTAACATCTTGCATATTTAGTTTTTAAAATGTAAATTACTTGCAATTTCTAATTTAAATGAAGCTGATATTATGGATACGTCTTGATAGAATTGAGGATGGAGGAGAGTTTTACTATCATCATTTGATTCTATTATGTCTAAATAACCATTTGGAAAAGATCACAGAGATCCAACAATTACACTCTCAGTTGTGACAAAGTAGAGGTGTTGGTTTCCTTTTGTCTGCAGTGGCAAACTGAAATTTGTGCTCATGAAATTGAAAAAGATGGTTAGGTGCAAAACAAGATTCACATTTGCCGTTTTCACCATCGCTTGGAGTTTTGCCCATGTTGAGTTAATTGAGTTTTCGGCTTTAAATATTACAGGTATCTCCTGATTAAACAACAGTTTCATTTTAACTAGGTGAAAAAGGTTTCAGTGCAAGTTTGCAGTCCAAATGGAAATGCCTGGATCAAAAATCTATCCTCTTCAGTGTTATTGTGCAAGTGTTGGGAAAGTTAATGTGTGAAGGACCGTTTTCACTTCCACAGTCTCATTTCCAGTTTAGTAGTTAATCGTGAATATTTGCTTGATTGCTGAAAAGAAAATGTGTTTGTGACTTTAACAGGATGGAAAGGGAAAGCCTTCTGACTGTCTTCCCTCCCCCTTTTTTATTTTATTTTTTATAAACAGTATTCGGGGTTTCAGCAGACGGCAGACAAGTGCTTCATTTGTGGCCATCTCATCATGGAAATGGTAAGAGTCCTGGCTTCAGAAAAAGGCTGGCCACGGGGTCAGTCGGGCTGCAGCTGCCTTTTTCTCCCAAGCACACAGACACAGATACACACACACACACACACACACACACACAGACACACACACACACACACCACCCTCACAGTTGAGACCAGGTTTGCCTCTTAGGCGGAACAGGTTCAGGAAGGTGCCAGCAGCTGCATGTGTTCAACCTGCCAAGCTTGATTAGTTTTAATCATTAATTNATAGCCTTTAGGAGGCTTATAGAGTGCTCCTGGGGGCTGGGGTGGGGGGGAAATTGAGCAAAAAACAGCCTGTTTTTCTCTCATTTCTGTCCTTTCCGGCCCCCGGGAGCACTCTGCAAGGCTCCTAAGGGCTATGCGTGGCCATTTTGGTGAAGGGCCAGGCGTTTCGGGAGGGAAAAAATGCTGTATTCAGTGTATAAGATGCACCCAGATTTTCAGCCTCTTTTTTGGGGGGAAAAAGGTCCTTCTTATACTCCGAAAAATACGATAGCTATCCTTAGTAAGATGTGTAATTTGAAATGGCTGAGTAAATACAAGCATATTTTTCAAGTAGACAGCTATTTGAAGTTGCAACTGCCAAAACATCTTAGGGAGATATTTACACAAGTGAGATTCGAACAGCTTAGCACAATGGTCTGCCTTTGCGGAGCGGCAGAGGTGAAAGACCTGGCTCACATCCTATTTGATTGTTGCCTGTATAAGAGAGCGAGAGACAGGTACCTTGCTCTGTATCCTAAACAAATGACCCATCGGGATCCCCATATCAAAATAACTTGGCTTATGTGCGGCCAGAATCTGAAAATAACATTTAACACAGCATAGTATTTAAGCAAAATGGTTCAGTTGAGATTGGCATGTGTGGGACTGATTGGGATAGATTGTAGGGATGACACCGAAATATAATTTTATTATATTTTATGTAGCTATATGTTAAATTATTGTATTTTATTCCAATTCCATTTTAAATTGTTTTTACCAGATTTTAGTAATAATTTGTGTTTGGAACTCTGCACTTTGATATGGTCAAAGGGCTAATCAAAGAAGTAAAGTTGTTTTTAAAAAACCACCTAAAACTAAAGTAATATGGTTCTCAGGGTCTTATAACAACCTAACTAGCATAGAGGGTGTTCTCCTTTTCTGCCATCAATTATTCAAGTTCCTAGAAGTATCTCCAACAAAGTTTTAGGATTATAGTAGAAGAGTATCTGTAGCTCAGGGCTGACCCGTGGTCCTCACTGAGGGGGGGGGGGGGCTGGATGGCAGACTTAACATCACTGCTGCTGAATCTGGGAGGTTTGCTTCTGTTTATATTACAGCAGCTTGCCCTATCAGTGTTGGGGCGGGTCCTCCTTGGTGGTTCCCTAGTTAGGGTGTTGTTTTCTGCTTGATGATGGTTTGCTTATCTGGATATTATCTGCTGGTCTTTTTGTTTCCTTCGTAGCTTTTTTTATTGCCTCTTTTGAAGGAGTGTAAATATAGTCTTTCTATCTTTGTAGAGGACTGGTTTGTCTCAATGCCATGCTTTCTGCTTCCCACTTTTCGGGATTTAACTTAGTCTAGGATGATTACAGTTTCCCAGTTGAAACTATGGTTTATTTTTTCTATGTGTGGTGAGATAAAATAGGTACAATAGAGAAAATCCTACCCCCCCAACACTAACAGGGCAAGCTACTGTATGTAAATAGGGAGCCAATCCCACCTAACTCCCACTGATGACATTACCTAGGCAGGTAGGTAAAATGTCTCTAAGCAAACAACCAAGTTAAAATTACAGTTTTAGGAACCACAAGACACCAGGAATGCCATTTCCAACTACCAGTTGAAATTAATTTTTAGCCTGGTGGTTGATCAATAACTTTCAGTCAACCGGTGTCAGAGAAAAATGTGCTGCCAGTGTTTTCTCTAGTGAGGAAATGCAGAAAATGAGACATGTTGAAGCAAAACAAATATTGGGGGTGGGTAGATGGGTGGATTCGTGACGTGGGATGGCGGTGAGTGATTGGCGTGGCACCAAAGTAATGTAAATCTTTAAGGTGTGCTAGACCAACTGATGACTGCCAATCCTTAACAAATTGTGGACATCCAGACCATATGCCCAAGTTAGTTTGGATGCACTGCCAGGTAGTTCATAGAATCATAAAAGTTGAGAGGGGCCTAAGAGGTCATGTAATCCAACCCACCACATACTACAGGATATGATACACCATCCATAATGGGTGACTCCGCAGCCTCCACTTTATTTTCTGAAAATGAAATTTTAATTAGAACTATGACAATTGGTTTGGCGTGAGGTATCTTCAATGCGAGATGAATACCCAGTGATATGTTTCTGTCCGTAGCTCTCCGAGGGAAGCTCTTGAGGTTCTTTCCCAACATCTGGTGGTTGGGAGTCTGGCTAGGGAAGAAGAAGAGATCGATGCTCAAACTGGCCAGGACTAAGGGATTAGGAGCTTCAGGTTTCCCACATCTGGGAGCTGAAGGGTTTCTGTCTTTAGATGGGGTGGCTCTCCTTCATTCAGACGTGGTGCACGATCTGAAGTTTTTCCTGGACTTGTCACTTCTGCTGGAACTGCAGGGGACAGTATTTGCCTGGGGTGCCTTAGGACCTTGTTTACCAGTTGCTTCCATTCCTGGAGGCCCCCTGCATTGTCACACCTGCCTCGGACACCTCCTGATGGGATTGTTGCAAAAGATGGGGACACATGGAAACATGGAAAATTATCTGGAAGCTTCAGTTGGTCCAGAATGCAGCAGTGTAGGAAGTTAGGAGAGCTTCTCATTATGGCCCCTCTATGTGGCAAGTTGCAGTGGCTTCTGTAATAAAACTTGCACGGAACACTTTTATAATGAAACACAAATAAACTTTAATCCCCAGAAAATACATTTAAAAAATTTAGAACTAGGAAAGAGAGAAAAGAGAATTGGAGGATGATTCAGCCCCCTTCATGAGAAGTTTGAGTTCCATCTGCTTAGCCAAACGTTGGATGAAATTGTTTGAATTGGTTTTTTGTTGATGTGTATACAGAATGGAATTCTGTGGGGGATTTTCTTCACAATCACCCATGTAAAGTAGACCCATCTCATTTTGTATATGAGAAAACCGGTTAGTCTCCTCAGCCTCCCCTCCTTCACTTTGTCTACAAGCAAGCTCTTGCCTGCTCTAAGCTTCCATATGGGTGTAGATCCTAAACAAGTCCCTACAAGCCACCTCCACTTAAGGGCATGGTAGAGCAGGGGGACGGGACAGGACCGGACTTTTTAAGTCTGAGTAAGAGAGGGCCTGAGCAGCCTCCCCCCTCCCTCCCCCAACTCTAAAAATATTCTTCAATGTAGTCCAAATTCCAGTAGCTCCTCTGATTCTTGGCAGGAGAAGGCAGAGCAGATGATAACAACAGAAAGAACAGGGGTGGGGGCGGGGGATTGGAAATTATTGGATATAAAATGAAAGCTTCAGTGTCATTTCAGAAAAAATATAAAATATTAACTCTCAGTTCCCTCCCTCCCTCCTTTCTGCAGGGTGGGCTAGAGATGTTGGGTTGAAAGGGTCCCTGACTTTTTCCAAAAGGAATCGTGGCTGGGAAGAACAATTCAGTGGAGCATTAGGAACAGGGCATGGATGAGTTGGAAAAAGAAGCATAGGGCATCTTGGCAACTTTGGGGATCAAGTGATCCCCACATGTTATATAAGTGCCATAATTGGGACTGGAATTTCCATGGCTAAGCAATGCAGCCATAAAGTGTGACCGTGCATAATCCTGGCACTCTCTGTTGCCATCACTAGCCAAGAATTATACATGGGTTAGCAAATACTTCTCTCCCCCCCCCCCCCCAACACAAGCAACCTTGGTAAGATAAGAGGCTGCTTTCTCTTCAACTGGCCTCTCTTCTGCCTCCTCCCCCATCTCCCCCTTTTGACCCCCCTCAAAATGCCTGCCTTGCAGACCAGAACACGCAGCTCGGGAGCTGCAAGAAGCACAGAGCTGCCGCCGCAGGAAGCACCAGCACCGTAACAGGAAACCATAGCAGTGTGAAGCCACTGCCCTTTGGGGGGCCATTTTCTCTAGAGGGCACTTCAATCCCACCCCTCACCTCCATGTCCTTTAGGGCAGTGGTCTCCAACCTTGGCAACTTTAAGACCTGTGGACTTCAAGGTTGGAGACCACTGCTTTAGGGCCCCTGGACTCCACAACCTGGGGAACCAAAGTATTTCATAAAGGGCCCCATGGGTGGTCGCAGAGAGGATCAAGGATCATGGAGTCCAGGGGCCCTAGTGGGGGTGAGGGTGGGATTGAAGTGCTGCTGAAGTCATAGATACAGATGGACTTCCAAAGACCTCCATTTTGATTATAAGGCTTTGGACATAATCACTTTGTTCAGCACCGCTGTAACATCAAACTGTTAGTTGTAACTCAAGGACTACAAAAAGTCCCATTCCCCAGGGAAGTAGAAGGAATAGACTTGGAGCAGACCCTGCTGGAGAGGGAGGGGTGGGTGGGAACTGATCAAAACTGAGGATAACTTTGAAAGCAAGGCAATGCTGTAGCCCTGTGGTTCTCTTACGGCTTCTTCTCCTTCAGCTCCGGGGGTGGGGGGTGGGGGTGTAGGTCTTATGATGACTTCAGCCCAAAGTCATAAGATTTGTTGTCACGAGGTATGTTTTTTTTACTTCTCCCTACCCACAGATGGCTGCATGTCCTAGGAAGATCCTCTGCAAGTAGAAACTTGCTAGTTTGACTTCTAGACTGTTCCTTTATAGTAACCTTCCCCAGCTTAGTGTCTCTTCTCAAGCAACATTGATTGCAGGACGTCAGCATTGAAAACAAGAATCTTCCAATGACCTCTACATAGAACACCTTATATTCATAAAATACTTTGCATTATTTCCCCAATTAGGTAAACAGATTAGTCAAACTGCTGGACATTTATAGGATAAAATTTGGTTACATTTAAGGAACTGTAATAAGTTGAATCTCA